GAAACAATCGAACGCTACGTCAAAACAAGTGGTACCTGTGAAAAGAGACCTGACTCCATGTCCTTGGATCGTTTATTGGGTCGAGTCACGGTAAACCCTATTGAACCGGAACCATCATCCCAAGAATCAGTAGCGGCACCAAAGCTAGCCGCGGAAAACGAATGGCCCGAACCGTCGTGGACAGAGGTCTCATTGACCTCGGAGATTCGAGTCAGAGGATCGTGACTCGTGAAGCTTAGTTGAGACTTTAGTCTCGATTGTCCTCGTCCTCCATTAGACCCTCCTTGCGGATTATTATAATCACTAGTTGGTTGGTTCAACGAGAAACCTGAATAATGTGAATTTTTTAAAAAATTAACTCACATTCACGTAAAATTTAGAAACCAAATTACCAGTGTAAATAAATAACAAAACAAATTGACCGATAATCAAACAAATGTAAGAGTGGTTTTATATGGATATATCGGTTAGTTCAGTTCCGGTTCAGATCGGTTATGTATTGGAAGTCACATCCAGGCTCGGTGGAAGATATTATTTATGTAGATAACAACGAGGCAAAATTAAAGCACCAATGAAATCCAAAGGACCCAAAAAAAAAAAAGAAAATTAACAAGACAAGATCCACCAACTAAGATCTATCACTTTCCATTTGAATAATCTTCTTAACAACCAAATGATATTCCTCCACATCAGCAGACATAACTATTGGTCACGAACTAAAAAACCTCATCCTCTTATTTTAAAGAAATGCAACTTGGCTTTGGCTTATACGATTCCTCGAATACGTATCAATAAAATATCCCAACCGAACCATATAAGTTTGCTCTGTGTAAAAAGGTTCAAGCACGTGGTTCGGATCAAAGGGCGCTTTCGTCATTTCAAAATACGAGGATCACGTATTGCACAAGTACCAACCAGCTAACTTACCAACGATCCTAATCTCAAAATGTCAACTTGTTATAACGTCGTATATACACTAAACTAATTTCCAAAGCTACAAATTTATACCGAAAATACCCTCAGCAGCCTTGTGTGTGACAGATAGATAGATTTCACCAATAAATGAATGATGCTAATTAGTTGAATAACTATTAGTATTTCACAACTACATTACGATTTTGGTAAATTCTAAATTCGATATATTCTGAAAATTGAGTAAAATACTTACATATATAATCATCAAAATAATTTTCTTGATCAGAAGAAATAGTAAAACAAGAAAATGAAAAGAAAAAAAACTGACTGTTTTTTTCGCCGGAGAGGTAGCTGAAGAAATCGGCGGGCGAGCTACGTTGTCTAGCGAGAGAGTAAGATCCAGAGCTGTTTCCTCCTCCGGCTCCGGCTCCGTTTCCGACGTCGTTGCTCTTGTGTTGCGAGATCTCGTTGAATCCACCGTAGGATCTATCAAGCTGTTTATGACCGTCCGATGAGTTGACTCCACAAGTCGTCGAATCGGATCTCAACGAGGATGAATCAGCTCCGGTGAAGAAATGACCGAGGAAGTTATCCGGCGCTGGATAATTAACGGCACCGGTGAAGTCACGAGCGTTTGAACCTCCGATGACTTCGTCAACCATAGAGTTTAGAAGCGATCCCGGAGCTGAGCCGTATCGGATCAGTCCTCCGCCACCGCCACCGCCACCGGGAAGAGATGATCTCTGCGACGATGATGACGTGGAGGAAGATGATTGGTACATGACTTCTATCGCCAAATG